CTCTTGAGAGTTTGCGAATCCAGTAGATACAATAATTGGGGGCGAGACTCTATCAGGGATGCTCTGGACCCGGCGCCGTGGCTTATTATGCAGCACCGGATACCGCCACCCCGGCCCATTCCTCGCTGAGTCGATGCTCTGGCCGCAGGAAATATGACAGAAAGAATCTCTTACCAGCCCCATCCGACGGCTGAGTAACACGATGCAAAGGCGATCGCAGCCTACCTCCAGACAACCGCGTAAGAGCGCTTGCCCCATGGACCAACGCGCAGCCCTCCGGCGGTGGAGGTACGAATGTCCAGTTCCCTTGTCCATCGTCGTCATCGGTCAGACAGACCTGCAGGCTCCACTCATCGTAGAAGAGCATAGTCAGGGACCCACTGTCGCGATGTTTGTTTTCGATCACTTCGGCGGCACGAGGGATGGAGGGCTCCGCAATGAGCTTGAGGCCGCTCTCACTTGGCTTGTCGTCGCGATGATGATCCATCAACTGCGGAAGATTGAGAGTGTCCGATAGTTGGGATAAGACCGCCTTCGTTGCCACATGACAACTAGACTGGAATCCAGTCAGAAGCGCAGTGTGTGCGTCCAATGTCGCTGGAAGTTTAAGGTCACCGGCACGCATTTCGTCGGTAGATATCTAACGACAATTAGTTACTATAAGCGCTTCAGAACTGATTCGGTGACATTGAACTTGCTTCAAAGGACTCGTCGGTGTTGCAGTACTTATAGCTGGTGAAAAGTGTCAGATGAATCGTAGCATATAAACCCACATGTTAGAGGGGAAATACCCCCTATCGCTCCACTTCGGTTGCGTGCGTCGGATGTCCTGACCCTTAATTTGACTGGGCTGCTGGAAATAGTCGTCGGTAATGGAAAAGATCTCACGACCTTGCTCAACGATATCACGAGTTTGTGGCGTGTTGCGAAAAGCCAGATAAAAATATCCGGGATGCTCCATAGCGGCAAGCAGCTTCGCCGTCTCGGTGCCATCTTTTTCGAGGAGGCGAGTGAGATTAATCGTCGTAACAGCCGAGATGTCGGACAGATGGTGCGGCGCCATGGTATACTCAAAGAAGCACGGGGATGTCTGGCAAATCGATTTGGGAGATCAAGGGACCTGATAATATGCGTCCGCGCTGGTTTGGTGCACTGCAGTCCAAGGCGTGTTCGATGCTCATGGGGTCCTATATGGTTTCAGGAATTCATCGCCAGCGGATTCCATGCCGAGACATTACAACACGATGGGGCTTGTGGGTGTGGCGTTCAACCCCTACCTAGACGGGCGCGGCAAAGACACGATCTGCCTGAGGACACGCGGTATCATATTATTGGAGGCAACCGCTTCCGGTGTGTTAGACCCCAAGATGCAGGGTGCCGAGGTACTGTGCCACCCTGGGAGCTAGCCTACTTGCTCTTGCTTGGTCCTTGATGGCCGTCACTATCAGCTGTCGGAAAATGCGAGCACACCAAGTACCTAAGTTTGCACTGCGCGTCAATTCGGGAGCGCGCTAGTCATTGAGTAATATCTAACATATGAAGCGAAGTTGCAATCATTTTCCTGTGCCATTAGGACACAAGACGGCCGCCTCATGCAGTCCGCTCCAATCTTCGGGATATCCCATTTTGTCAGCGCACCGCCAGTCTCCGTCTTCGCTGTACAGCTCCCGGATGGGTTGCAGCAGATGATTAAGCGCACTTGCCACTGCCTCCTTCAATGCTTCTGGTTCAATTAATCCGGCAGTGTAGTCACTCTCCAACTCTTCGAACGTGAAGTAGTTGTGGTGGGAATGACCTTCGTCTGCACCAGCAGTCTTCCCGATGCTGAATAAGGTACCTTCAGGAGCTCCCTTTGCCGCAAAAGCACCCAGACGACCGGCACAGGGTCTACCTGCACCGTTCTCTAGCTCGGCTCTATGTTGGTTCATCCTGATCTCACTAACAGGCATGAGAATATGTTCGACAATGGGCAAAATGCCGTTGCCTTGCGTACAGCCTGGTGGGCAGGTGGCACCTGCGATCTTGCTTTCCACGGTAGCTGCATCGTCAAGAAACATTATTTTCGTGTGAGGCGCATGTGACGACGACATCTTGCCCCCAGTCAAGCTCGGAAGCAACTCATTCATCAAGTGCACTCGTTTTTTGTAACCGATTTCGGGCAGGAACTGTTCCCCCAAGTTAAATATGCCGCGCTGGTAAGCTGATTAGCATGGGTCACTAAGATTAATCATTCGTGTCGTTGTAGCAGGGTGTACCTGATCCGTTCCACCGAACTCCACGTCGACCCCCAGATATTCCTCTCCCAGTTCCTGGAGCAGTGGGGTGAGCATTGGGCTCAACATCGTGGTTGCACCAACCTCTGCGCCAGTGTCGCGCGCGTCTTGCTGGGAGCAGAGCGCACACAATTTCCAAAAATCCACAATGAACTCTGGCCTCATTTGGTACGAGGACGACTCCACCATTGACACCGCGGACATGGGAACCCCAACCGCTTTGAGGGCAGCCGAGATCAAGGCTTTGTAGTACTTTGTGCGATGGCGAACCTGGTCCCAAGGGAACCTGTAGTTGACCAGAAACGCGTACGCATCAATAAACTCAACGGTGACCTGGAGTATGTGAGCAAACAGTAATGTTCTAGTTCCGTCCGGTGAGGCCCTCACCTCTCCACCGGCGCGAATGAAATCGGCAAACTTGATGAGAGGGATGAAGTAGCCAATATGCGCTAGTTAGCTAGTTAGCGAGGAACGCTCGAAGGGTTCAGCATCCCAGGCGTACGCTTCCCGGTTGGGGCGGTGACTGTTCCGTTAATGAGAATTCAGAGCGCGAGAGCACGTATTTACTGACCCCATTGGTATCTTATGCTTTTGCCGTTGGCAACAAGCTCCTGAAGCTTTTGGCCACACCAACCGTTCTGGAGTTCGAGGCGACGAGTAATGAGGGAGTACCTCTGTTGGCTATCGAGATTGATGTCCATGGCCGTCTGCTATCAGCGACAACAAAGCGCAGTGGTTACAGTATCAGATTGTGGACGGGAGCGACTTGCCAGGCTACTGGAAGGGCAGTGACATCGGATCACTTAAAAGCAAAGCTACACTTCTCGTGCACTGCAGCTGGTAAGCATTGTTGGGTATTCGTTCACAGGCGGAGCTGGCTCGTACTTCGCTGCTTCAGGCAGCCACCTGCATGCGGACATGCGGATGGCATCGACGATCTCCACCGCCCAGCCGAGGAATGCATACAGAGATGCCGTATTAAAGACGTGTCCGATCCTTATTCGCTGACTACTAAATTGGCCATACGTGTTTATGTACTGACGAGACACTTGTCTGTTTGTAGTCATGCAGGTTCACGCTGCTCGCCGTGCGGTGCGATCCGGGCCCGAAACACAGGTGACGACGGTTTTCGCAGGGGCAGCCCATACATATGGCAAAAAGTCTGGAGTCGTCAGCCACGTAGCATGCATAGGCATGCATCGATCTGTCATGTTTCTGAGGCTCCTCGAGCAATTACGACGGTACATACGTTAATGACTACTGAGACAGATGTGCGGCTTGATCCACTACGCATGTACGAGTTCGGAACTCCAGCTCTGATCTGGACCGCCACGAAATGTTGCCCCGGGAATTGTGGCTGCATCACCGTCGGACAAACTCTTGAGTCCTGATGCCCCAGCAAACCATAACCCTCGCCATGCTTACGCCGCACCGGGATTTGTTCCGTTTGCAGCGTTACGCGGGATCATCGGGATCCTGGCGTACCCTCTCCTGAGTGAAAGGCGGGGTACGTGGTGATATCACCGTAGCCCGATGGCAACGTGTCTATAAGGGTCGACATATTGCGGTGCACGGCACTGTGAAGGGATGCTCCTCCATTCGCCCACGGCCGCCCAGTGCTCGTCCATCCCGCTATCTAGCATATGCGTCCGCGTTTCCTTTCCGTATGGAGCTGTTGCTGGACCACTGTCTGCTTTTGCTCACCATTGCCCTGCTCTCTGCACTTGCGGGTTCAACAAGGCGAGCACACGAAGCAGGGATAGAGGTCGCACCACACGCTGTCAAAAAAAAGCCGATCGCCCCGGACAAAGAGCACGAGCTCCGTCTCTACAAAGGTCTCTATTACAAATTGCACAACCTTGAGCGCCATGTTGAGATTCTCCCGGAGGCCAGGAGCCTCCTGAAGAAGCTTCTATCGCAAGCGTTACAACAAGAATCCCGCCGGAGCAACACGATACTCTCAATCGACCAATATTCCGATTCTGCTCTAGAGTCATTGGTCCGCGCAGAGATGGAGGCCGTGACGATGAACTGGCGTCATTATCTTGCCCGCCGCAAGCAAGGTCAACCTCGCGAGATGTTTCCAGTTGCTGGCGATGCACGTCGCTGGTTAATTCAGCAAGCCCCTCTCAAATTTGTGGATGGTGCTTGGCTCGGCCATATACATAAAACCACAACACCATACATATATCGACGAGTTACAAAGGCTGCGTGGCAAGTCCTCTCTGAGGAGCTGGGGGATGGCGATCTGGCTAAATGCCATGCTCATATATATGCACAGCTTTTGAGTCGGATTCATGCGCCTGCACCGGCTCCAGATTCGGAGGACTTCACAAGACACCCTGGAATGGACGATGTGGCAGCCTGGCGCTCTGCATTGGCTCAGCTCCTGATATCACTTTTCCCCGACACTTTCCTGCCGGAAATACTTGGATTCAATCTCAATTTTGAGATGATGACTCTTGAGACTCTCATCGCGGCCAAGGAGCTTCGAGAGGTCGGTATCGACCCATACTACTTTACCTTGCACATCAGTATCGACAACGCCGATACTGGTCATACAGCTATGGCTAGCCGCATTGTATCAGACTACCTTGGAATCACTTCCTCTCGATACGGCAGCGATGCAGCACAACAAGCATGGAAGCGTGTCCAGGCCGGGTTTGTTTTGTCCAAGAGCATAAATCAACCGTCCGGCGAGAGTTTAACAACCAAAGTCATTGACATATTCCTGGCAAAGTCTCTGGCTTCTCACGGAATCCACGAATGCTGCCCTCTTACTATAGGTGGAAAAGCACTCAGCACTTGGCTCGACCCCGCATTGTTCTGCCGCCCAGAATGGCAGGTGGACTTTCTGCGATGCCTGGGAGAAGCGAAGCCGTGGGTCTATAAGGGTGACAGCCGCCGGAGCAGGTTGATCCATCAGCTTTCACGAGGCGGCTCTATGTTCGGCGCCTTCACAGACCGCGAAGTAGCTGCTGTGACGCAGTGGATCAACTCACTTGCCCCACCTGGTCCGGGTGTATATGAAGA